GGGCCCCGCCTTTTTCGCCGCGGAGCTGGAGCTGGGGGCACGCTCCTGCAATCTTGAGAGCTCAGCCCTGGGCAAAATGACTCATGCAGATTTCTTTGTTTGTTTATTTGGTCATGTATTCATGTATTTTGTATACAAACACCTGCATAGTCATGTTCATGTATCTTTACATGTTCATTTATGTATGTCGTTGTTTATTGTTTACAAGCATGCATAAATACAAATGCCAACATCTCACCTAAAACATGCAGTTGATGAATCAAGCCCTGGTGAATCAATAGGGCGCGGCCTGCTTTACTCTGGAAGCTTCACGCGAAATGCCCGGACATCCCCCCGTCTGCCCGTGCGAAACTCACCCGCTCCCGTCGTGGCTCATCACCAGAACTGCTCCTTGGCATCCGACCGGATCGGGTGAGGCCCCAGGGCCATAGCCAAGTTCCCACGACAAAACTACAAAGCTGGGCTGAAGTAAGAACCGCTGTCCGGGCAAAGTCCGAAACGCTGCACAGTCAACAAAAACTCCTTGCCAATGCAAACGCCAGGCTCCTGAGGGCAACTATGTTGTTGGCAGTAGGCGAAACGCCGACAATGCGATGTGTATTGATTTGAGCACCCCGTGATCCTACCTCCCTCCCTTCCACTCGGTCGTGGGCTTGCGCTTTCTCTGGCCGTCTCCCTGGCAGCGTTGTGCCAAGATTGTCCAGTGTACAACCAAAGTTGAAGAATATTCCCAGCTCTGCCTGATCCCTCCCCTTTTTCCAAATTTGTGCGCGCGGTTTCCCTATGTCCACCTTGAAGCAACGCACAAAAACGCCATCCCTCAACAAGACATAGCATGTACGGGGCAGCCAAGAATGGTAAAACCGCCCGTTCTTTCAGAACTTCCCTCAGAATACGTGGCCCTTCATTTGGCTGTTTGTCAAAAATGTGTGCCCAAACTGGCTTGCCCTGGTAAATGGAACCCATGACCAAAATAGGCCTTCCCCTACGGGAAGGGGGAGGGAGAGCCCAAATAAGCCCTTATTAAGCCCATAAATCTTAACAAGGCCTTATTGAGGGCTTATTTGGGCTCCCTCCCCTCCCCTGCCTCCCCCCCGAGCCCCCACGACTTGCACACGTTACCCTCCATTCGTTTCTGGCGCCCGCGTCCGTCGCCTTCTTGGCGAAGGCGGAGGCCGCTGCCTTGAAGGCGGCAGCCCGGCCAGGCCTGGGGCGTTTCGCCCGGGAGGTTTGGCACGAGGCACGAGCCGCAGGTTTGGTCGGATGTTGGTCTTTGCTGTTTCAAGTCTGGGGGCAATTTGGTAGACTTTGTGCATTTGCCTTGTGCGTGTGCAAAGATCTTCCCAAGCCTCTCATTCCTCTCCGAAAAGGTCCATAGGCCCCGGCGCAGCCGATGAGGTGGCAGTGACCAGCGCGCGCTGGCGAGCACGGCACGTGTGCCGTTTGAGAATTCCAGCGAATGGCTTCCGTTGAAACCAAGCCAGACACATCAGTGAGGAAGAAACAAGAGTAGTGTGGGCAGTGTCCGATGCCAGCTTCGCGTCTATTTGCAGAGCGGACTTTTTACAAACTGTTGCATACTCTAGACAGGTATGTACCCGCTCACAAGCCACCCGTGAACACCGCAAATGCTTGAAGTTGCTGGCTGGCCCTTGTGAGGTTTGGGCTGTCTCTACTGGCCCTTGTTTCCAGAAACCATCAGGCAACAGGTTCCCATCCGACCCGCGCGAGAAAAAGCGCCTCGTCATCCGAGTCCGCGAAGCGGCTCCAGAGATCACTCTGCTGCAGCTGGTGCACCTTCGGCACGTCGACGAAACTTGCCATGGCTTTCAGGGACATTTCAGCGGAGTGCAAGGAATCCAAGCGGGACCCACCAAAGTTTCTTACGCACTCACCTGAAGTCCCACCAACGCATTGGTCTTGCGCTTGGATCTCAGGCGGATGCTGCACCTCGCAACATGCGTCAGCGCGCCGCGGGCGCCGCGCCTGCTGTGGCTGCAAGTCGTCCAGCTCTTGCCGCAGCATGCTGATCTGGGCACCCACCGGAAAGGATGGGCTGTCTTGGACTGCACGCAATCGCGCCATTGCGATGGCTGTTTTTATTGGGGTACCTTCTCCATTCTTTCCAAAAATCCTTGTTTCTAGAAAAACTCCTAGCAAACCTTCGGCTAAGACGTGTGAATCTGTAGAGTGCCCCAAAAAACATCGGGGGCCTTTTTGTTGTGTGGAGTGTCTATAATGGGGAGACGCTTTGTGTTGCTGTTTGAAGGGCAAAGCCCCAACGAAGCCTCATTCGAAGTTGGCTGAAGTGCGCCATTGGCGTTTTTTCTAGGGGTAGCGTCTCCAGTCTCGTTCGAGGTCACAGGGGTTTCAGACTTCAGACTTCAGGCCCCGCGGCCCCGAGGCCCCGCACCATCTGAGTCCCCCAGGGCATGACGTCGTCGACATTGGCTGCGAACCTCCCAGCGCGCGGATGGCTCACGCCAGGCTTCACAAAATGCATCAAGCCCATCCCGTTTTTTTACTTTCTGCAGTGAGTCACTCACCCCGGTGGACAAGCCCCAAAATGAACAGCTCAAAAGAGATCGAGTTGTGCCCAAACATGCGAGACCCCTCGTTTGAGCGGGGGAAACTAATTGGCAAGTCCCTGCACATTGCGCTCAAATGCGATCGTGTCGACAGTGTCGACTCTCCCACTCGCTTCAAGCCTGACAAAAAGTTGCCAAGGCAAAGCGTCAGTCTGCACACGGCGCCTGTTGTTGCAGACGATGTCCAGAAACTGTGCCGCCGTCATGGCTCTGCGTCTCAGCAATGGCAGGGCCTGATCAGAAACCAGATCTACCCACTTCCCCAAATTCACGCGCAACAAGCAGGCAAAGTCCAGGTGAACTCCGTTTTCGGACAACTACAACACAATTGTTGCACTAATTTCTTGTATCCCTCGCACACCGACTCACCTTCATTGCTTTTTCTGCAGAGACAGTGGCTGCGCGCCTTGCAAAGCCAATTTATCTTGGCCGGGCCTGGCAGCAAGTTGGCACTGTCATGGACCAGGAGAAAATTCTGTACCATGCGCCCAAGCTGCCAGCGATTTCCACCAGCCATGAACCAATTCATCTCATCCTCTGTTTGCCTCTCGCCTTCCCAACGCTTAGGCCGAGGCCGTCGAGCCGCACGACCTTCTGTGGGTCCCGGGTGACCCCCTGGGCATGGATTTATTTGCTTGCGATCCAAGCCAAATGCTCTCTGCGTAATGTTGACCCAGGAATAAACCCGTCCCAGTATTAGGGGCTCTCCAGTGAGGAATCCCCACAACAAGGGGACACCCCCCAATCAAAATCAACCAGGGGGTTATTAATCCGGGTTTAACATTAGACATGGCATCCCTTGAGCAAAGCTGGTTTCATGGTGGTGCTGTTGGATCACCCACACAAGTCTTGCATGATCATGTCAGATGTGACAGCGTTTCGTTTCCAGTTCCGGCTACTTCAACACTCGGCCATCCCGCGACAAACCCCGCCCCCCTCGCCCGCTGCGTACCAAGGCCTCTCCGTCATCTTTGCTGATCGCCTAGCGCCAAACCCCAGCTTTTCCCAACCCCGGCGGCCGCCAGCCCACCATTTCGCTGGGGTCGTTGCTTTGACGGTTTCTGGGGGCTATCAAAGTCAGCACATGTGGTTGGGTCTCTTTAACCCACCCACTGAACGGGCTGACTTTGATTATGGCAACATGAAAAAGGCCCGTTTCACGGCGCCTTGTGGTGCGCGCGTGACGCCGCGCCCTTGGGCCGGCGGCTGATCACCTCTCCAGCAATAGGCACCTGGCGAGGCACATGGGCCGAGCCTGGGGGATGTCCCTTTCAAAAGGGCGACACTTTCCGCGGGGGGGCAAGGTCAGACTTCGGTTTTCCCTGGCCGCGCAGTGAAAATATGATTTGCATGTGATTCAAGCCCGCAACCAAGCTCCTTGTCTGGAAGCTGACTGCGCACACACACTATTCCCACGTAAATTTGAAAGGCACACCGGCGAATCAGGTACCTCCCACAATCAGACACGCTCAGCAGTCTATGGGGTCGCACTAAACCATTCGAGGCAACAAATGGTACTACGTTGACCAAGGCCTCCTCTCACTCGCCATACATCGACTCGAGCCATCCCAGCGCCTCCACTTTGCCCGGCCGAGGCCTGAGTCGATATACCGAGTCGCTCTGCAAAGCTTGTCATTGGAGCTCAGGAGCTGAGGGATGAGAATTCAAATTCCGGAAGCAAACTCCAATTTGCGGGGGAACACTTAGGGTTCATGGCGAATACCCGAGAACATGAAGGATGGCACATGATGAGACGGCGCATTTCTGAGACAGCGGGCAAAGCTGAGATCCCCACGTCATGCTCACCGGCGACTACATGGGAGCACATCCAAGGCAGGGGCAACTTCAAACTGAGAACAGGGCTGGCAGTTGCATGGGTGTTTGCCTGGGGTGGGGTTGCTGGGTGACTGAGTTCATTGCATATGCTCGGCTGACAACTCGGCACTGAAGGTTGATACGATGCTAGTCTACAGATCGAATGATCAGCTCACATAGCTGGCCCAGCTGTGCCCATGCGGGAAACAAGCACATCAAACCATTCCGAGAGCTTTTGCGTCAAGAGGTCGGAATTTTTTTGTCTTGGGCCACCAATGCCAACTGCGCAAAAGGCTCTGGGCGCGTCGAAACCAAACACTCGAAGCGAACCTCGGCCCATGGTTGGCGTATTGGGCGATGTCCCGGGGAAAACGGGCCAAACTTGAAGCAAACGTCCTGGCGAAGACCAAGCCGGCACTTTGAATCTCCAGATGTTGCTTCCAGAACACCGATCCTGCGCGCCACTTGGTTGGGGCACTTGGCACCTTTGGCGCGGGGTAAAAACAAAAAGGCGGTTCAAAGCTCCGCCGATCTGCGATCGCTCGCTCGCTCGCGAAGGGATGGACTCATCGAGTCAGGTCCTGGAAGTCTCAGCTC